TTGGTTTTACTATGATGTGTTTTTTTTTTTTTTTTGTGTCTGTTACCACTTTTTCTCAGCTCTCACCGAACCGATTTCTTTCAATGATACGTCAAAAGATCACAAATTGTATCTAGTCGAAGACATTACCCTCAAAAATTGAAAAAAATTCCCTCGTTCCCCGTAAATGGGGGAAACCTCCAAAAAAATTACAAATTTAAAAATCGCTAATTTTCGAAATTTTTTCAATTTTTTTTACTTAAAAGTGCCATAACTTTTTCAAAAATGAACATATCAATATAATTTTTTTTTTATAAATTCATTATATCATTACCTTTCATTTGGTATATTTTTTTTTTATATGTGACTCTTTACTTGCCCACAAGGGGGGATTTAAAATGATAACTTTTTTACAAAAAAATTAATTTTTTCAACTTGATGTTTGAAAATGTTCCGGAAGGTCTGACACTTTTATATATATCATATATTAAAGCTAATGTAATATACTTTATCATAAAAAAAGAAAATTTCGGACTTTATTTTATCTTCATGGTGAAAACAGACATTAAACTTATTAAAAAAAATACGATTTTTATAAAAAAATTCTTTTTTATATTTTTAACTTTATAATGCTATAACTTTTTGAAAGATGTATGGATCAATATAATTCTTTTTTTTGTAGATGCATGATGTCTTTACCTATCATTTGGTATATTTTTTTTATAAATCTGACTTTTTACCTACCTACAGGGGGGGATTTAAAATGACAACTTTTTCACAAAAAATTGACTTTTTCAACTTAAATTTTGAAAGTGTTCCGGAAGNTACTTTTTTAACTTAAATTTTGAAATTGTTCCGGAAAGTCTGACACTTTTATATATATCTTAAATTAAAGCTAATGTAATGTTCTTTATTATGTAAAAAAAAAATTTCGGACTTTATTTTATCTTCATGGTGAAAACAGACATTAAACTTATTAAAAAAAATACGATTTTTATAAAAAAATTCTTTTTTATATTTTTAACTTTATAATGCTATAACTTTTTGAAAGATGTATGAATCAATATAATTCTTTTTTTTTATAGATGCATGATATCTTTACCTATCATTTGGTATATTTTTTTTATAAATCTGACTTTTTACCTACCTACAGGGGGGGATTTAAAATGACAACTTTTTCACAAAAAATTTACTTTTTCAACTTAAATTTTGAAATTGTTCCGGAAAGTCTGACACTTTTATATATATCTTAAATTAAAGCTAATGTAATGTTCTTTATTATGTAAAAAAAAAATTTCGGACTTTATTTTGTCTTCACGGTGAAAATGGTTACCGAATGCTATTTTTGTGTGAAAATTCTCGATTTTATTTTTTACATTTTTAACTTTATAATGCTATAACTTATTGAAAAGTGTATTGATCAATATAATTTTTTTATGGGAAATACTATTTTTTAATGATCCCTTTTTCATTCAACATACTTTATCTTAATCAGGATATTAATAAGGAACTAGCAGTTTATAAAGCTTTTGAAATAATCCACCAATTTTTTAAAATTAAACACTATCTAAAGATTTGCATCGAAGCGTTTTTTTTTTATAGTGATTTTAATCACTGTCAGATATCATTATACTTAATCCAACGTCACCACTGTTTCGCGACCCCCCTGTGCTGTGTTTTTTTGTTGAATTAAAACTCGAAGTCTATTATTTAAGCATTTTTTTATGATAGAAATTAAAATTATATGGAACAACATATCTAAAAAAGAATGTTTAAAACATTTGTATTTTTAATTAAAATAGTACATTTATAGAAACCTCATATTTTTTTGTAATTATTATTCAACTTTTCAATCATGAACTGTATTATGATTTTACTTTGTCAAATTTGTGTATTGTAATAATTAATGTGTTGATATAATAATTAATAAGTCATTGGAATCGCTATTTTAATGTTTTAATACTTTTAGTTACTAGAATTTTATATTCTATTTAAATGATCACCAAAACTACATAATTTTACCTTTAAAATACTGTTTTCATTTTTCTATTTTTATGTAGGAAAAAAATTTAACTAAGTATTTATACTTTCTTTAATTTTACATTGAATAAAATTTATTCATTATATTTATCCAATGATAAATGATTTTTTACCATGAACTTATAATTAATAAACAACAATTTGAGATAGTATAAGAGGTAAAATTGTGCATCCGATCCTATACAAACATATTACTTATTTTTTACCAATATTTATTTTGACTAGATATCGACTGAATTGGAATTTATTAGAAATTATAAGTGCTGCAAAAACTTTTCACGACTACATAAAAGAACCTCTAATAAAAATAGTTCTGGGATTATTCAATTAAAATAACACTTTGATAGTAAGAAATGCTTATAAGTTGGAATTTTAGGTCATAGACGAAATCATATTCAAAAAAATGAAAGGATAACTAAACATAAGATACTACATTAAAAAAACTCTCATCACCCAAAAATTATCCGTAACCAAAATAAATGGAACTCGGAGCACGTTTGTTAAAACATAATCCATTTATTTATCAATATGTTTTGAAGTTACAGCTTTAGTAGAAATACCACAAGCTAAATTAATATATATTTCAAAATCAGTTTCTGGAAATACCTAAATCCAGGTTTTTTGTTATAAAATGTCTATCCAGTAAAATCTGACACGAACGCTTAGGATTGATAACCGGCCAATAAAAGTATACCGAAAACCATGTGAAAAAAGAGGAACAGGACGGGATTACAACCTTCAACCCAGGGCATCGTAGCCACAAACTTTACCACTAGGCGACCATAGACTTGTAATGCAGATCTGGATACACTTTTTAAGGTNAACTTGTAATGCAGATCTGGGTACACTTTTTAAGGTGTTTTAAAATTTTTAAAGTGATATGCAGACACGGCATCGTGTCAAATCAAATGTGTTTAGAACAATAAAATAAAAATGTTTACAAATACTAAAGAATCAGTATTATATGTATATATGCTTGAATGTGTTAATGATTGAACTTAATTTAATATTTAGTAAAGTTATACAACAAATATAATATTTTCATAAACAGCAATTAAAAATTTATATATTTGTGTTTCATTAATCAGTTAATTTCAAAATTTGTCATTTTAATGAACGATTAATAAAAAAAAAGCAAATAATAATATAATATGGTTTATTATAATTGAACAATTAGTAGTTCCACATCCAGTGAATGGTCTTTATAACCTACTCCAATTTTAAATATTTTTTGAAAAAATAACAATGTTTAATTAACGAATCATTCTGTATAGATAGCTCTAAAATATTAAAAACTTTGATTTTTAATCACTTAATCACTTGAATTACTTAAAATTAAATGTGACATATTAAGATGCACACGCTATATAAACCAAAAAAAAATAAATATAGTTTATAAAAACTAAAAAAACCCGCTTTTAAAGCATATCGAACTAAAAATTATTTTTAACTTTTTAGTTCGATGTGTTTTAAAATCGTGTTTTTTTAGTTTTTTTAAACTATATTTATTTTGCTCTTTTTAGTTTCATGTTATGATAGTAGTTACTCTCAATATCATGGTTGTAATGGGTAACGGATTATCAGGGTTCGATTCCGGTGAGGGAGTCTAAGAAACAACTACCACATCCAAGGAATGCAGCAGGTGCGTAAATTACCCACTCCCGGAACATGAAGGTAGTGACGAAAAATGACGATACGGGAATCATCCTTTGTAATCAGAATGAATACACTCTATATCTCTTAATAAGAATAAAGCGTGTTCATATATATATTTTTAATAGTAATTAGAATATATATATACAATTAAAGCGACTTGAGTACGTAATAGTATCATGCACGAGGTATAAACTTGTTTTTGTGAGCGGGGGGAACGTTATACCTAAGGTATAAACGGCGGCAGCGGCGGTAGGAATATATAAATATATATACGTAAGGCGCTTACACGCGGGCGGTATAGGTCAGTCAAAATAAAATTTTTTTTATATATATATATAATTGATGACAGGCACGCGATTACGGGTACGAAAACCAAAAATATAAAACTATACAGAATTAGTGTTTTATGCGATCGGTGAGCGGGGTGGGGTGAATGCGTTACGACGTCTAGTCTAGACGACGGGATACGCGAGAATAATAACACGTGCCGCGTGGAAAGTTACAAACACACATCACACATACAAGTGAAACTAATATAAGCGTGTTAACATAAATAAAAACTAACAACGAAACCTTTATCAACTGCGACACGTCTTACAAGACTTGCAGCTAAGCGCATCCGGAGGATAACAGTAAAACCGGTTATGGCAGGTCGCCTTTATGACGATGAATAACCAAAACTCACTAAGCCATTCCGTTATGGTACGACCGAACAAGTACTAACAGTTAGAATTAAGTGAACTGATTTTAATGATATGAGATATTTTGTAATATAATGTTTTAAAAATAACACAAATAATTACAATTTTCTCAAATTCAGTTAACAAAAGTAATATGTACAAAGTTGTATGCAAATGTACATTTTTACTCAATTTCATAAAAAAAATTATAGTTTCACAATATTTAATTATATAATCAACATTTTTATAATTTTAAATAAAAATTTAAAACATTAAAGAACAATCGTTAGGGTTTTTTTTTATAATAATATATTTCAAGAGCTATTTGGTATGTATAAATTAGCAATTGTTAAACTTCGAAATCCGAAATATTTCCAAATATAGATATAAAAAAATATGCTTATGTGGCGGTCGAATGTTCTAGAATATTCGGCCGCCGCCGCCTCTAGAAGATGCCTCTGACTACTTAAGGGCAAGATCGTCGCTCCAGTCAATCACTTACGCATTCTGTCTTAAACGCGCTTCGTCTCTCGCTGTTATTTGTTAGTTCGTTGTAATATAGTATAGTTGTAATTAAACCGTAAAAGTGTTTATTACTTCTATGTATTACTCCTCGCTACATTGGTGACCTCGACGATAACAAGTATGAACGCCGAAGAACTACGCAATCAATTGGAGGAGTTACGCCAAGAAAACGCTCGCCTTGCAGCACTACAGGCACAGCAATATCCAACAGCTTCAGTGAATCGCGTTGCCGTCAAGTTCCCACCTTTCTGGTCTTATGGTTCTCACAGGTTGACTCGCAGTTTGCAATCTCGGGAATAACAAGTGAGGAAACAAAATTTAATTATGTTGTAGCTCAGCTTGATACGCGTTACGCCGCCGAAGTAGAGGATATTATTACTAACCCACCGCCTACTGAACGCTACAAACATCTACGCGCAAAACTTGTTGAACGGTTGTCTATCTCAGAAGAACAACGTGTGCGGCAACTCATCAATGAAGAAGAACTAGGTGACCGTAAGCCATCACAGTTCTTACGACATCTCCGTTCCCTTGCCGGCACTACTACATTACAAGACAATATTTTACGTCAACTTTGGCTCCGCCGTCTACCATCACATGCACAAGCTATTTTAACCGCACAATCAGAGCTTCCTCTGGATAAGGTAGCCGAGCTGGCTGACAAAATTGTTGAAGTGCAGCCAGCCCCCTCGCAATTCGCCCATGCTGTTGCCACGACGAACAATAAAAAGGAACTCGATGTTTTAGCTGCCATTGAAGCACTCACAAAACAGGTAAGCGAATTATGTGCTAAACGCCCGCAACGTTCCCGCTCTAGGTCACGTAACCGTTCAAACGTGGAACTGACTAACGGCAAAGGATGGTGTTGGTATCATAGCACTTATGGAGAAAAGGCTGCCAAATGTAAGGCTCCCTGCAAGTATCAGGAAAACTCCAACGACAGTCAGTAGCGGCGGCAACAGACTGTCCGAACCCGAGCAGCCGCCTGTTTGTTACAGATCAAATAACAAAACGCCAATTTTTAGTCGACTCCGGTTCCGACTTATCTTGTTACCCTCAACGGCTACTACGGGAACGACGCCATGCCACCGATTACGACCTCAGCGCGGCCAACAACAGTACCATAAAAACTTACGGGACGGTCCATCTCAATTTGAATTTAGGACTTCGACGCAGTTTCCCGTGGAGTTTTATTGTCGCCGACGTGAGTACTCCTATCGTTGGTTCTGACTTCATGGCATACTACCACTTGCTGCCGGATTGCCGTACCAAACGTCTTATTGATGTTGTCACAGGCTTGGCTGTGAATGGTAAGGTTGGGTTGGGTTTCAACAATCCACTATCGCTAGTAAAAGCTGATGATTTAGAGCAGTATACTAATTATATTGAACAAAAAAAAGAGTTATGTTCATGACTATAGGGTAACCAATTTCTTTTGATTTTGTCTGTGATCCTGGAATAATTTTATAATAATCTTTAGTTGTATTAAATGGTAAAGGAGAGTCATCCGTCTTTTTCTCTGGGTGATTTGGATGAAACGATAAAAAATATTTATATTTTGTTTATTTTTGGGCTTAAAAAAATAATTAAAATTTGTTTGATGGTCAATCACTATATTTAAATTATTTTTGACTAGAAGGTCACATAAATCAATTTTGACTTCAGAATTAGTGATTTGAAGGTCAATATTTTCGTCGTTACGCAAATAAATTTTAACCTCAGAATTGTCCGACTGCATTTATATAACTAGATGAATGTGGCACAGAAATATCATAATTATCGAGTGTTTGATTTTTACGAGGTATCTTTATCGGCTCTAAATTGGGGTTATTTTACAAAGCAGTTAGAAAATAATTTGTCTTTTTTTAGATTTATTTGCTATCTCCTCGAGACATTTCTTGTTATGTTCTTTTTGTTTTAAAGAACCGCTCTTATGATATTTTTTATTTTGGTCGATGTTATCATATTCCATTATAAATTAGCCTAATAAATACAAAATTAATTGTATTTTTTTTTTTAACTAAAAATATGATATTAGGGTTAGTAAATATTGTAGTAGTATTCGATTCCAAAACTTAATAATTTTTATAAAAATGATATCAAATGAAAGGAAAATATCTAAGGTTTCAGTATAAAAAAATTATTATGATTTTTGAAAAAGTTATGGAAGTTTTAAGAAAAAAAAATGACAAAATTTACCAATTTTTTTGGATATTTCTCCCATTTGCGAGGAACGAGGGAAAATTTTTCAATTTTTAAGTGTAATGTCTTCAACTAGATACAATTTGAGATCTTTTGACGTATTGTTGAAAGAAATCGGTCCAGTGAGAGCTGAGAAAAAGTGGCAACGGACAAAAAAAAAAAACATCATAGTAAAATTAATACCTTCTCAGCTTCGCATCAAAGCTAAAAAAAACGTAGTTTAATAAAAAATTATTTTGTTTGGATGTATTATGTTTAAAACGGCCTCCCTAGGTTATTTTGAAAATTACACTACTTGATGTTTGTCTATTACAACGAAAAGAATGTTCTCAATTTTATTTTTGGATTTTTTGAAAAATTATTTAAAAATAATTTTTACTTTTTTCCTAAACACTATTTTTTTTTTTAATTTTAGCTTCGATGCGAAACTGAGAAAGTACTATTTTACCATGACGTGTTTTTTTTATCTGCCGCCTACTTTTCTCAGCTTAGACATGACCGATTTTGATGAACTATACGTAAAAAGACCAATAATTGAATCTAATCGTATCCCGTAAAAGGGGAAAGTATTAAAAAAAAAAATAATGTGCTATCGTTTTAATATTAACTTCAACCATAAAAACCAATAGAAAAATTAAATGCTTTTGTTAAATTATCTGACTTTTCTAAAAATAATATTAATGTTTTTCGTGTTACAGTCAGTAAAATTAAGTTTTTATAATCAAAAAAGTTGTTTTTTTCTTGTTGCCAAAATTTCAGAAATTCTCTAATATTTGTTTAGAAAGGTAAGAAAACTACATGGTACGAGTAAATTACAAATGGGATTCTCCATGAAAACTTTTAGTAAAATCGAAAAAACGGAAAAATATCATACTTTACACATAGCTTTAATATTGATTAATGTGGATGCTCTTTATATTGTAATATACGTGCAGTATAATTTAAATTTTTTATTTGTTGCTAAGCAAGAATGAGTAAACATAATTTTATACGCTATAGTTATAGATTTACGTAATTATTGCATGCACTTCCAATTTTATTTAGTATACATGTCATAAAGAGTCGGATTGAGATTTTTCAGCCTACCAAGATTTTATGTTTCAGCCCTTAACAAAAAGTCAGCCAATACGACAAAAGCTGTTGTACTCATCACTTATTTTATTTACATCCTAGTCAAAGAAAAAACATAATTATTCTTTTGTGATCACTTTTTAGTAGATGAATTCATTATATGCGATCTAACCTACCCCTCAAGGAATCGAACATCCATTCATATTCCGACTCAATCTATCTCTTATAGTTATAATAATTCGCTGTACTGTATGCTTCGTAGTGCCAATCAACGCCATTAGCACATTTTTACTAGCACCCCTCTGTTGTATCACTAAGTACTGTATTATTATATACTTAATCTTTAATTAATAAAATCACTTAGTTGTAAACATTATGTAAATTGCCGTTTGGCGCGAATAAATTAAATAAAATAATTTTTTTTTTTGATTGTCAGGAAAGAAATTGAGGATTTTTGTAAAAAAAACATTATTAAAATTTAGGCAGTTGGCTTTTACTAACTAATTTGCTGTAGTATCATGGAGGCCCATATACCATAATTTTTGGGGGCCCCACCGCGATTTTCCCGAAATCCCGGTGGGCCAGTCCGCACACAAAATTGCAACACAAAATTATAAAATATCAATTTTATACTATACTTAATTGCTATAATAAATATTTATTCATATCATATACTTATAAATCAAAGAACTACTAATCAGGAATAATGAAGGAATTAGGAATTTCATTTTGCTTTTGATATAATCCACCAATTTCTTAAAATTCTATCTATAGATTACCATCGAACCGTTTTTATTATGATAGTGATTTTAATAACTGCCAGATATCATCTATACTGGACCCAACTATGCCAAGACCCACTGTGCCGCCACATCACTGTTCTACCTTTTTTTTTTTATATAACTTTTGCTACTTTTTCTCAGCTCTCACTGGACCGATTTCTTTTAACAATACGTCAAAAGATCACAAATTGTATCTAGTTGAAGACATTACCCTTAAAAATTTAAAAATTTTCCCTCGTTCCCCGCAAATGGGGGAAATATCCAAAAAAATTACAAATTTAAAAATCGGTAAATTTTGTCATTTTTTTCACTTTTTTTTCTTAAAACTTCCATAACTTTTTCAAAAATAAACAAATAAACTTAATTTTTTTTTAAACTAAAACCTTAGATATTTTTCTTTTATTTGATAACATTTTTTGAAAATTTAACACTTAACCTGCTTATTGGGGGGGGATTTAAAATAGCAACTTTTTTACAAAAACTAACTTTTTCAACTTAATTTTTGAAAATGTTCCGGAAATACTGCATCCTTTAAACGTATATCAAATTAAAGCTTATTTTATGTTCTATAAAATCAAAAAAAAAAAAATTTGTCCCGACGACCTATCTTCTATGCGCAAATGGCTACCATATTCAAAAATATGCTATTTTTTATTAAAATTCTAGGTTTTATATTTTATTTTAAAATATCGTATTAGGAGAACACATGGTGAAAATAGCTACCGTATTTAAAAATATGCTATTATTGTGTTAATATTCTTGGTTTTGTATTTTATTTTATTATAAGGGGATTACACTGATTTTCATAAATCAGTAATAAATTATAAATTTATTAAATCAATAAATCAAAATCAATAATAAATTCTTTATTATTTTTATAATTTCTCCGTTTAAATTACAATATTAAATTATTGAATATCAATTACATACTAAATTTAATAATTATAATTAGTATTTATTCATATATTATATTTTAAAATCAAAGAACTACTAATTAAGATATAATCAAAGAAATAAGAGTTGATGTTGCTTTTGGAATAATCCACCAATTTTTCTAAATGAAACACTATCTACAGATTTGCATCGAAACGTTTCTTATGATTGTGATTTTAATCACTGTCAAATATCATCTATACTTGTCGCATCTATGACTTGTCTACACTGTGCCTCAAACCCACTGTGCTACCGTTTTTTTTTTAATTTTTTTAAAATACATTTTTTCTCAATTTATTAATCATAAATATTTTTTATGTTCAAACCTTATACCTTATAATGATTTATTTTTAAATTATTATTACTTTATTATTTATAATTATAATTTAAATATTTTTAAATAAAAATTTATTTTTTCATATTTATTTATTTTTTAAGTGGCAATATAAGTAATTAACTAGCTTATTTCTTAAATAATGACGTAATTAAGAAAATTACTAGTCAATAACAACTATTGGACCAGTATTTTTGAAACTATTAAAACGTTATAGTGAAGGTTCGACATAAGGTGTGGGTGTAGTTATTTTTATCACTAGCCATTTTTTAGCTGCAATCGTCCTCCTACCATGGTGTAGAAATGGCAATAACATCTGAAGTAATATTTCAAAAATTGTTATCTAACAGTCATTTTTGTAATAAGATCATTTAAATAATATAGTCAGTTATGTATTTTGTTATTTTTAAAAATAAAGTAACATCCTTATAACGTATAAGAGATGAATAAAAAATACTTAATCATTGATAAATTGAGAAAAACATTCCCCTAAAAGATATCAAAAAATAAAATCTAGAAATTATTTTTATTTTTCGATTAATTAAATGATTCATGATAAATGCATTATTAGTATAAGCATTAAAAATTTTAAAAATAAGTTAATTGTTACCACAATTGTGAACAGCAGAATCCCTTTATTTTACTAATTATAAATACCCAATATAATACTGTCAAATTCAGTGAATATATCACAAGTCTAACTCATATTTTTCAAACAGACAAAATAAATTATTGTGTGTGAAAGTCATATACTAATTACTCAATTAATTAAAAAGAAAAGAACAACAAGAAAAATACAAAAAAATAATAAATAATATTAATTTCAGACATCTTTTTTTTTTTAAATCAATTAGTCATACAAGGGCAGAACAACCTTACTCCGAAATAAAATGCAAAACCAAATTCGAGAGAAATTTATTTTAAATGATCGAATATTAAAGATTCTAAATTTGCATTGTGAACTTAATCCATTTAATCTGACAGCAATACGCAATTTCAAGTTTTATCATCTCTTTTATGCTCTATTATTATTATTGGAATTTATTGTAATCAATTGCTATGTGTTTATTGGTTTTTACTATGTGAAAAACGATTTTATTTCAGCTACACAATTATTTATATATATTATATCCGCTATTCAAATATATCTAAACAACTATAGACTTTCTAAAAAATATGGTGAATTAAGGAGATTATTAGTTGCAACAAGTAGCTATTTTCTGTCTTCTAATTATAAAGCAAAATATATGTTTAAACACAGCGAATCTAAGTGTACTAAAATAATAAATATAATCTTTTTTATGTATATTTCGGCGTGTTTAGTTTGGTTCCTTAGTCCATTACTTATAAAAGAATTTCCTTTAAAAAGAAGAGACGGCAGTCTGGTTATTTACCATAACAACATCCTAAATTCATTCTTAAGTTTTATACTCATTTCGGTTTATGAGGGAATATATCCAATTGTTTATCTATTGGAAGCTTTCGTATTAGTACATATTTGTTCTGAATTGATTTTCTACTATACAATAGTTATACAATTTTGTTGGATGTTATCAGCTCAACTGAAAATAATTGCGTTTGAATTCGAATCATTTGGATATGAAAATGTTGAATTAGGTACGTGTGAAATGATTATAGTTAATCTTTATTTTATCAATGATTTTTGATAATACAGAAGGAAAACATAATTTTTTCATTACTAGTAAGATTTTAAATTAATTATTAATTTTCCAAATAGAACAAAAAAACGACTCTTACTACATGAAACATTTGAATCAAATACTTTTGGATCAGACAAAGATAAATGTGTAAGTTGATAAAATTATTTTATATCAAGGTGGCTACAATCATTGTAATCTTTTTTATACTTAACACTTATTTTTATGTATTGTTAAAATGATATATTTATTCTTATCATCATGTTACGAACAGTATCTGCGTTTTTATACAATGATTAATTGTCAAACGCAATTGTCATATATTTCAACACATTTTAAAATGTTATTCATAACATGGTAGATAATCCAATAACAAATTCGATGTTACATTTTTATTAGTCATTATTATTCTTATTAGGTCAATTAGGAAGTTTCATGAAATCATGAAACCGATGACGTTGTTTACATATGTATACTGTTTAAATCTTTTAAATGCTCTCACATATGTGTGTATATTGGTATGTATTTTTAAACTTAGCAATCAAGTGATTTTCATAATTTGATGAAAAATATGTTTGTAGATTTACTTTCAAAATGACTGTGTATTGTCAGTTACTTTTGTGAAAATATTAATAGCAACATCAGTGGTTATTATCAATTTGTTTTTTATAAGCCATTTTTATGGTTATCTTGAAAATCAAGTAAATTATATTTTGACAGTAGTTAGTACATTTTAATTACATTTTGACTAAAATTTTATATAAATACTCTATTTATGACATANACTAAAATTTTATGTAAATACTCTATTTATGACATATTAAAATATTTATAAAAATAAATTTTTATCAAAAATATACGAGAAAAGTATGTTCTTCAAATAAAAGTACGAAATAGTAAAGTGCAAAAAGTATAATAAACAAACATAGTTTAAATGAATTTTAATAATTTTTAATAAAAAATTTTACTCCGTAGCTACATTTTAATGTTTTGTATAATAGTTTACTATGGATTACTACTAAACTCTTGTTTATTTTGTGTTATTTCGAAAATCAAGTTAAGTAATTAACTTTTTAATTAAAATAGTTTATTATTGTGATATTATCTACTTAATATAATTTTTGATTGGTCCACATCAATAATGTAATTGAATTTATTAGATATTGATAGTAGGCAGCACGTTTTGATGTAATTTTTACTTAAATATGATTTAAATACTTAATTAATAACGTTATTAAGTGTTCATAAAAAAATTTTTAGAGAGTTCTTTTCAAAAATTTATTAACGAACAAAATAAACTCTTTGTTAAAGTATACATCAGTAAATGGAGCAAAAATCTATAAAAAAAATAAACATCATTAAATGATAAAAAAATTCTTTTTAAGTTCATCCATTATGCATTGTTAGGCTATCAACTTTTTTTTTCTTGAAATGAGTACGCATATTTTGATATAATAAAATGTTTGAAGTTTTATTTTAATAATAGATGGCAATTGAATTTTTAATATAAATATTTTCGTTTATTAGAAATAAAAATCGAAAGTATCAAGTTGTTTGAGTTAATATACATATTTAATACACTAGGGATTACAAATACAAGTATTGAATTGGTTTCTTATGACGTCGCTATTACATACACGGAGTGTTTAATGACAATTATTGTATTGCCTGTTGGTGTATTTATATACTTACAACAATGTGCCTTACTACCATTGATAATAAATGCTGCGTATCTGTAAATACCAATATCATAAGAAACAAACACAATTTTTTTAAGTAGAAAGTATTGTTATTTATAAGTAAAATTAATTATTATATGAGAATAATATGTGAACATTTATTACTTCATTCATAACTTTTCTCCATAAATTTAATTGACTTCTATTTTAACATTTATACTTTGTACTATTTTATCAGATGAATGGACTACAGTTTGCTATTTATAGTACTAATTGGACCGATAAAAGTATAAAATTAAAAAAAATGATCTTATTGGCTATGATTTTAAATAACACGAACAAATTAAAGATGAATATTACTCCACAAAAATCATTGAATCTAGAAGTATTTGGCTCGGTAAGTCTTTTTTTTTTAGAGAAAGAACTGAAATCGTTATATTTTATCAAATTCAATGTAAAATATATTCATTATAATGCACGTGACTTGATTAAAATAATAATAATAAATATATAATAATAATTATGAATTAATAATTTATTTTAGGCGATGCGTGTGTCCTATTCTATAATTTCACTCTTGGCAAAAGAAACAATTTCGAAATAAGAATTTATTTTGAATCTTTTGTGTTTTATTATATATTAAGTTCACTTTGTGTTAAATTTTACAATGTAATCTTTAAATTAAAACATTAAAAACTTGATTAGTAAATTATTTTCATTTTAATTTTTGGCAGTATTATTAAAAAATACATAAATACCAGAATCTAATATAAGAATACATGAAGTATTCGTATGTGTTGAACAGCTCGGTGAAACTAAGGTAGTTACGTGCTAATTCTTGAACGTGCGTATAGTACGCGTGTTTGTTGTGCCGTACTTCCATACGCAAAAGCTTACTCCTTCGACCTTGATGTTTAAGTACATTACAGTATTGACACATGGATTTAAATATATATTGTTACTAGTACCGCCGTCGATAATGTCATAATACTGTAGTAATACAAAAATAAGCGTATATGAAGTGGGTGTGTTTTGTATGTGTTGACCAAGGTTTGGATATTTGGAAATTTAGTCAATTCGCGACCAACGAAGTTCTATAGGGGTTGTAGAGTTCGAGGGTTTAGAACAATAAAGACAAGTAGATATGAAGAAATAAATTTGGATCCACTTTATTTAATGATAAAAACTAATTATTTAGTAGGTACCTCTAATAGGACACTGAGGGAACGAGGCAGTAATCCGACCCACGATACCCTGTAATGTGTATATGTATAAAGTGCAAACAATTTAGTAAAATTACTAAAGAAAGAATTGATCTATTGCTCTATCGTTCTTCACTCAGATTATTAATTCTAAATAATTGGGATAATATAAATTTACTTACTTCTTTTAGATAGATTGTATAAAAATCGTAGATAGTCAAAATGCTAAGTGTAACACTTTTTCTCAAATTTTGTTAATTCGCATATACGAAAATTCTATAATGTCTCTTTTTATATAAATAAATAAAATCTCGACACAAAATAATTATATATCAATATCGCATTAAAATGTACCGATGACAATACGGGGTCGCGGTTAGTTAAGAGAAATAAATTGGACAAAAGAATTCTGAATTTTATATTGAATTCAGAGTGTCAAAAGTGCCGGTTCGCTCGCTCACAGATGTGCAAGCAGAACTAAACCTTTTTATACTATATTTAATTATCCCCATCATGGGATGTTGTCGTCTGTGCTTTTAGTGATTTTCAGTTTATTGTATTAAATTGAACATAACATGATTATTATTTTAAGATAAGATGCATAGTATANCATGATTATTATTTTAAGATTAGATGCATAGTATACATTTATCAATTTAACATGTATATACATATAGAATAAATAGTGTACAATAGTATATATGTTATGACAGATAAATGAAGTATTAGTTTGTATACAAGTAATATAAAATACATATTATAAATTTTTCATTGATAAATGTAAGATGCGTAACGCAAAGCATTGGGCATATTATGACAATACAGGGTCCGTTCCAACACTTCCGAGCGGAGCGAGCTCTAGTAGGCGGGTTTCTGTAGTAGGCACTTAGATCTACAAACCAAGACCCCGCTCAGTTTGCTACGAGTAGTAGTTCAGTGTGCATCCTTCACGCATAGAAGCTTTGTGAAGAAGTCGAGTAGAGATTTCAATGGTGCTAAAAATGGAGCGAAAATTAGAGCAGCGATATGCAATCAAGTTTTGTATGAAATTGAATCAAACTTTTGCGGATACTTTGCCGATGTTAAAGCCTACGATTTTGAAGTGATGTCTCGGATACAATTTTACATGTGACACAGGGACTTCAAGGTAAGACGGGAGATACCGCAAGATAAACTAATAAATTAATCTATTTTCATTGCGGTAAAAATTAAGAAACATGCAACATTTTTAGCTTTAATGCAAAGCTGAGAAGATTTTGATTTCACCGCGATATTTTTACTTATTTTATTTTTTTTGTGTCTGTCACAAATATTTTCAGCTCTCACTGGACCGATTTTTCTCAACGATACGTCAAAAGATCACAAATAGTATTTAATTGAAGACATTACCCTTAAAAATTAAAATTGTTTTCCTCATTCTCTGGAAATAGTAAAAATCCCCCAAAAAATAACTATTTTTAAAATCGGGAAAAATTTCGAAATATTTTTCTAAAAAATTTCATAACTTTTTGGAAAATGAACAAATGAATATAATTTTTTTATGTTGTAACCATAAGTAATTCCCTTTTATTTGATATAATATTTGAACCTTGAAACATACGTATAAAAAGTAGAACTTTTTCAACTTAACTTTTGAAAATCTGCGTCTTTTAAATATGTATTAAAATAAAGCATATTTTAAGTTCTAAAAGTTCAAAAAAAAAAAATTTTTATCGACAACCTAGTTTATATGTTCAAATGGAAGTCGAAGTAGAACAAAAATAGGAATTAATTTTGCTTTTGGAATAATCTACCATTTTTTTTTTTAATTAAACACTATATACAGATTAGCATCGAAGTTTTTTTTTATAATAATGATTTTAATCACTGTCAAATATCATCTATATTTGTCCCTACTATGTCACGATTCCACTGTGCTACCGTTTTTTAATATTCAACTGAAGTTCATTAACTGGTAAATTCATTAACACTCTTTGATCCTAATATCTGAATAGCTAAATAATTAAAAAAATAAAAAAAAAACACATCTTAGTAAAACCAATACCTTCTCAGCTTCGCATCGAAGCTAACATAAATACATTAAGAGATACTATTAAATGAAAACTATTATCACTTTAAAAATAAGGACAAAAACTCATACATGATTACACACAATGTGACATATTAAGATGCACACAATATATAAACAAAAAAAAAACATAAATAGAAACTAACAATGACACATTTATCAATTGCGACACGTCTTACAAGACTTGCAGCTAAGCGCATCCGGAGGATACGAGAAGGCAAATAGGAGAAGCCATTCGCGACCACCGCACACACACACACAACCACATTAGTAAAATCAGTTAGGGCAGGTCGCGCTTATGACAATGAATAACCATAACTCACTGAGCCATTCCGCTTTGGTACGACCGAACAAGTACTAACAGTTAGAATTAAGTGAACTGATTTTAATGATATGAGATATTTTGTAGTATACTGTTTTAATAATAACACAAATAATTACAATTTTCACAAATTCAGTTTACAAAAGTCATATGTACAAAGTTGTATGCAAGTGTACATTTTTACTCCATTTCATAAAAAAATTATAGTTTCACAATATTTAATTATATAATCAACATTTTTATAATTTTAAATAAAATTTAAAACATTAAAGAACTATCGTTAGGGGTTTTTTTTTATAATAATATATTTCAAAAGCTTTTATTTGGTATGTATAAATTAGCAATTGTTAAACCTCGAAATCTGAAACATTTCCAAATATAGAGTTAAAAAAATATGTTTACAAGCATTTGCTGGTCACTTTCAATACTTTCTTATATTAAGGTTTTTCAATCAATTTTTACTAACAGAAAATTAAATATAATAAAACATCATTACAATACGTTTGTTTATGAAAGATTAAATTGCAAGATAAAAAAATAGTAGTGAAATTTTGAAGAAATTTTTCAATTTTTGATTATAAAGCAAAATGATTGGTAAAAAAGCATNAATTCAATTTTCGACTATAAAGCAAAATAATTGATAAAAAAGCATCGTGGTTATATTTATCTTTTTTTGTCGTAAATAATGTAAAAAACTTTAAATTTATATTGGTTTAACAAAAGTATACATTCCAGTTCATTAACAAAAATTGGTTAAGCTAAAAACTTATTTAAAACATAAGAAAATAGTTAAAAACCTTTGAAATTTCCTAAATGACTAATATATATTTTTAAATTTTCGCTGTACTGTTATAATGTATCGGAATGTACATTATCAAAAATTGAATATAAAGTATTTTTTTTTAAAGCTAATTTTTTCTACTTAGAAAGCAATATAAAATAGTAAAACAATAATTTTTTATATTTAATTGAGCAGGTTTTTTACAATTTTCTCCAACGATAGGTTCAACTAGATAAATATAAAACGAATAATGAAAAAAAATTTTATTAATATTTTGTCTTCTCTAGTAGAATTTTATATTTTAAAACTAATTCAACACTAACTTTAAATTTTCAAAACAAAAAAAAATTAAAAAATAAACATGACGAGTACTTCGGTCTAGGACACAAAATCTATATTATTGCAACGAAAGACATGCCAGTAGATGTAGCAACATCTAATCAAACTAAATATAATGGAAAAATTTGAAACTAAATCAGAATTTGCGTAAAAAAGCTTTATATAAATTCACTTAGATAGTGTCAAAAGCAATATAACTATAGACATATGTATTAAAATAAAGATAAATGTTTGCGAGGATTTTATATCATTAAAACTGAACACAAGAAAATGGCCACAAATAGTCCTTATTTATCCGAAAATAGTAATATGAAGTAATACAAGCGAAAATATGTTAAGGCGTCTGGAAACCGACTTTTTTTCAGGGGTCGAATATAGGCAATTTTGCAGTATTTACATGTTACGCAGTGTCGTTGTTTGAGAAATAAATGATTATTAGTGTGAGTGTCCATTATTGGGAGTATTTTGTCGTGTTATAGTCGATATCAAAACCGGTTGGTACCTGCCTTACTTTCTGATGCAATACGATCATATTGATAACGACACACGTTTATTTTATGTAGTATAAAAACTATAGTTTAGCACCAGCCTCATTGTAAATACTAATAGACGCGTCATGATTTCACAAATTTTAATTGATTATAAAAATAATTAAACTATTTATTTTTGACGAGTAAGAAAAACTAAATATTTATAGAAAACAAGTTAAATCATATGAGATCCACATCGATTATTTTGAAGTTATAAAACTATAAAAAAACTAATTTTAATTATAAGAATTCAATTTATAAAATTACTTTATTTACACACTAAAATATTTAAGTTTTAAAAGCCATAATGGGAAGTCCTTTGTCATTCACTTCTCCATTTTTTTTTTTGCAAAAATTACATTTAAAGTGAAATCCTGAAAAAAAAACCCTTTAACTTCAGTTTTAAATAGAAGATTTGAAAAATTACAGGCAAATAACTCGTGTTTAATTGATTTCAAAC